ATAAAAAAAATCAAAATACATCATATAATACAAATTACAATGATTGATGGAAAAGTTCATACTGCTCTTTCAGATGTTACAAATTCAGGTCAATGCTGTACTATATGTGGGGCAAGTCCTAAAGCAATGAATGATACTGAAAAAATGGTTTTGAAAAAGGGTATCGAAGGTAGTTATTTATTTGGTTTATCATCCTTACATGCTTGGATAAGATTTTTTGAATGTTTATTACATATTGGATATAAAATAACTTTGAAAAAGTGGCAGGCAAAAACAGCAGAAGATAAATCTAAAGTAAAGGCTCTGAAACAACAAATTCAAAATAGACTTAAAGATGAAATGGGCTTGATAGTTGATTTTCCGAAATCTTATGGTAGTGGAACATCAAATGATAGAAATACGGTTCGAAGAGCATTTCAAAATGCGGAAAAGCTTGCAGAAATTTTAAATATTGATGTTGAACTGATTCTAAATTTGCATATTATATTGGCAACAATTTTATGTGGTTTAGATATTGACACTAATAAATTTGAGGCTTTCTGTTTAAAAACAGCTCAACTTTATGTTCATCATTATCCTTGATACTATATGCCACAATCTCTCCACAAAGTTTTAATCCATGGTTCTATCAAAATTATCAAAAGTTTAGCATTACCCATTGGTATGTATTCTGAAGATGCTCAAGAAATACGTAATAAAGACTCTCAAAACTACCATGAACATTTTGCAAGAAAATCATCTAGTGTGAAAACTAATCAAGATTTGTTAAATCGACTTCTGTGTACATCTGATTCATTTATTGCACCTCTGAGAAAGACAGCAGGAAGTCACACCAAAACGAAAAACTTACCAGCTGGAGTTATTGACTTATTAAGGTCATCCACAGATGATATTAGTTTATAAATGTATCTTTTGTACCTTTATAATTTTGGAAATGTCTGTACCTATATGAAAGTGTGACTGTAAATTAAAACAATTAGTTATGCTCAATCCTATTAGAATCATCAAATTAATTTGCATACCAATTTTAGAAACATTTGGCTAAAAATAACCCTTATGAACTAAGCATAAATATGTGTTGCTATGCAAATGGGATTGCCTAGGCAATCACATCAAAAGAGCAATGCTCATTTAAATTATAATCATCCAATTAATTTATATACCAATTTTTGGGGCCTATGGATGAAAGGAAAAAAAGTTATGACTTTTTGCCAAAAATATGGGATTCTGGCCCACTGTGGATCTTCGAGTGGCATTTAAAAAAAAGAAGATGAGTAAATTTAGAAAAACACCTCTAAAATACCAACAATTCTAAGACATGAATAATTTAAATACAAATATTTAACTAAAACATATACTTTTTATAAGCACTAAGTTAATATGTTTATTTAAAATAAAAATAGTCCAAAGCTTTTTTAATTGAAAAAAGTTATGTAAATTTTGAGGATAAGTATTTTTAAAAAAATAAAATTTGCAAAAATTTGACAATTTTAAAGCCATTATGAATGGTTCTAGCAAGCTTGCCTTCATCTCTAGTAATTAAGCGGATATATTTTTGAATGGAGTAAAGCACCTTTGTTTCAATGATGAAATAAAAAAAAAGTTTAGAAGATTTGACTTTTTTGGGACTTTTGGCCACGGAAAAAAAATTCTGGCCCACTGTGCACTGAATAAATAACTAAAATTATATAATTAATTGAAAATAACATTTTGTTTTTATGTTTTTTATAGTACTTGTACTTTACTATGTTTATATTTTGTACGTAGTTTTAAGGTGAGTTTCCACTCATCCGTTTTTTCACGGGAACGGGAAAGGGAAGGGAAAAAAAATCACGTGAGCATGCGTATTATAAGTTTTAATTTGTCCGAAGTAAAACTACGCATGGTCACGTGATTATTTTTCCCTTTCCCATCCCGTTTCCATAGAAAAACGGATGAGTGGAAACTCACCTTAATGTACAAAATGTAAACATAGTAAAAGGGGTCGTCCATAAATTACGTCACGCAATTTTTGACCGTTTATGGACGACCCCAAACTTCAATTTTTTAAAAAATTCTAATAAGAACAATTTAAGAACGATTATAATCGTTCTTTAATCGTTCTCAAAAAATTATGAAGGCGTCAAACACGTTGTACGTGTTAAACGCGTTTAACTTCATTTAAATCATTAGTGAAAACAATAGGAAACAAAGTTTTAAAATAGGCGCTATCTTTTATTAACTAAAAAAAAATCATAGTATTTGTGAAATTAAACAATACATAAATATTTTTACTCGGTAACGCATATGATTTCAAATGTAGTGAAGTACAATACTTTAGAATAAAAAATACTCAAGTAAAAGTAAAAGTACACATTTAAAACAATAGTTTAAAAGTAGAAATTCACAAAATAACAACTCAATTACAGTAACGTGAATGATCATAACTTAAAAAAATAAAAGATTCGATGAAAATAAATTTAAATTAAGTATAAGATAAAAACAATTTTTTTTTTTGAACTCATTGCCCTCATAACTTTTTTTTTCGCTGTTTCACATATTTACAAGAAGGCTGTTTCACATATTTACAAGAAGGAGACATTGAGTGTCTTATTACCGAGTCACATTTACATATTGTCCGCGTTTATAAACAAAAAATAAAATATACACAAAACGTTAAATATACATTACTTTTGTTAAATAATAAAATGACTTTTATATTGATTTAAAAATAAAAAACGTTTTATATTCTAATGCAAATATATTTGATACATGTTTATCAACATTTAGTGTTAATGAAAACTTTTTTTCTATTTTAAAATTACCTTTTAAAAAAAATTTAAAGCCTATTGAATTAAAATCTAATTAAAGTAAGATTCTATTAAAAACAGTTTTGAATTTTTCTAGTGAGCAGTCAGGGCCGTCCCGAGGGGGGAGAATACACAGTTCTGTTTGCCCCAAGCATGCTTTTGTTTACTATAAAGTTTATTGAGTTTTCCGTAGTTCGTACTTTTCCATGCAATATTGCAGTAAGAAACATAGCTGTGAATAAATGAAAAATAAATTTTCATTAGAGCTCTAGTATTTAAAAATAATTTTGTTTTATAATATACGGAAATAATTTAAGAGATTTTACTTTCAATGGATTGGATGTGGAACTTCCACAACAAGTTTTTATCAAAAATTACTCCTAAAAATTAACAGTAGATTCCTTTTTACATCTGTTTTATTGAATAAAAGATTTGACCGTTTAAGTGGAAAATTATCAACTTTATTTGGTTTGTGGAGCAGAATGAATTTAGTTTTATCTACATTTAGTGAAAGGCGATTACTTATAAACCGTTCATTTACTTTAAATAATTCTTCATTAAAAATTTTAAAAAGAACTTTTATATCTTCGTATGGATAAAGCAAATGGAATTATCAGCAAACAATATAAAATATAGTTTTTTAGATGCTAAAAATAAATCATTTGTATACACTAGAAACAATAATGGAAGTTCTAATTTTTTTATAAGGATTTCATGATTGACAGTGTCAAATCTTTTGGATAAATCAATGAAAACTCCACAGGTAAAATAATCTTTATTAAAAGCATCCGATAAATAGTTTACAAGTTCAATTACCGCGTGCTACTAAAAATGTGAAACAATAAGGGTTCAATAATATCAAAGACTGATTTAACTACTTTCACGCTAATTTTATCTATGCCTGCACTTTTGTTATTTTTCAGTGTGGAAAAAACACTTATATTTAAATTTAGTTCTGTCATGATATTTTCTGTTTTAAGGTAACTTTCAAATTTTATGGTACTTGATGGAATTTTAGCCGCCAGATTTGGACCAATCTCAAGAAAAAACAGTAAAGGTTTTAAGCTATGGTTTTTTTTTTATCATAAACAAGTTTTTCATCAATTAACAAAGGCAAACTTTTTTTAATCGGTATATTTTTACCAGTTATTTCTTTGATTATATTCCAATTTTTTTTTGTATTTCCATTAGTTTTTTCCATGAGCTTTTCATAATAAAATTTTTTTGAAAACTTCTTGGTTTTTTCGAACAAATTTTTGAAACTTTGTATATTATTTCATTACGATATGATTTTTTGTCTAAGGTATATAGTATTATCATACAGTTTTTTGTATATTTATAGTATTAACATTCAGTTTTTTTTATTTTGTTTTTTTTTGGTTATTTGATTAAACCTTCCTCGGAATCAAAATAGTCTTAGAATTGAAATTTTATTTGATTAAAAGGAACGCCTTATATACTGTTTACTAATAAACACGAAAAATAACTCGTAAGCAATATTTTCATTTTGTGTTTTATGCACTTAAGAGCCGTTTTTTCTAAGAATCAGGCAAATTCCTGAAACTGTGGAAGTGACCTCGTCCAAATTGCTTGAATTTTTTATATTGATCAGAATATAGAGAAAACCTGTTGGGGAAAAAAAAAATTTCAAAAATGTTTCGTTCACTCGGAATCTGGGCTTAAATTTTTGAGATTTTTTTAAAAATTTTTAGAAATTTAGTTTTTGCCACCTTTGAACCCATTTTTTTGGCAAGGCAAAAAGTTGCACATAGCTTTTGTAGTTAATATCAGACGTAACCCAAAAGCTCTCTCCAAAAAATATAAAAAAGTTGCGTGACACTGTGCGGTTGGCTAATTATCATAGTACAAAATCAATCAGTTTTGTCAATTTTTAATCGGAGTTAATTCTAGCGGCGAAGTGTTGCACACAATTTTTCTTTTAGGATTTGAAATTATCAAAGGTATTGAGTCTAAAAATGCAAAGAAAGTTATGTGATACCTAAGACCTATTAATATAATAAGGCTTGAAATTGGAAAAAAATGTTTTAGTATACTTACAAAATGAACCATTACGGCAGAGGCGCTTAGTTTTGTAAAAATGTAAACATATCCAACTGTCAATACAAAAAGGTCCTAACATAATAATAAAAAAAATTCGTGTGATTTTGTCACACGCATGATATAACATGAATTAAAAACTGAACCAAAATCTAACATCAAGATAACTATATTGCTAATTAAATAAAACATAAATCAAACATTTAAATGTTTTTCCATTTAAAAATTAGTTTTTCATTTATTAATAGAGTCATTTACACACATTATCCACCACATCACACATAATTTCTACTCTGCTGCAGTAAGTTTCTCTAAGAATAATGATATGACTGTATTATAGTCTTCTTCGGATAATGAATAATCGCCACAACCGCTGATTAGAAAAGGAGCATTTACTAAACAGATAATTTTATCAGTTTGGTTATTTATCTCCTCGGTAGTAACTGGCCAGCGAAAAGTATTCTTCTCTTGCCCGTTAATCATACAATTAACTCTGATCCCAGTTATAGATACCTAAAAGTATTAGCGCAACATTTAAAATAATATAATAAAGAGTTTATGATTTGTTTAATTTTGCTTACATTCAATATAACTTGTAAAGTCTTATATAATGTCATTCTGAAATTATTTTTACATTTTATTTATATTCCTTTTATTTTAGAGCACTGTTTTGTAAAACAAAATAAAAACTTGAAACTAATATATACATTGAATAATATTACCTCCACAATATATCCAATATTCCATTGTTTTTCATATGCAACAGCAACCCAATCATTCACTTTCCATACAGGACAAATTTCTTTTGCAAGATTGGCGATGTCTTCCTCATATTTATTATCATCTTCATTGTCTCCTGTCAGATTAAAGTCATTATTTTCGCTATAAACTTCTTTTTTATCGTTAACCTGACTATTTTCATCATTTTCTGTTGTCGGTTCTACTAGCGCACCTTTTCTTTTCAGGTTACTAAATCTATAACAATATCGATTGTACATATTTTTAAATATATGTAAACAAACACACAAAATTATAACTTTCACCTAAATTTTAATTTCATATTTGTAAAAGAACTATTTAACAGTCAGAAACATAATCTAATTTGCAAAAGTTTTGATAGCAACAATGCCTACCTTGAAAATAAAGATCTTATCTGTTGGCTAGTTACATATTGATCAGGCGGAAGTTCTCTCCTCAGCTGCATGTGAACTTGCTCAGGGCTTATTTTATTACCTGATTCTTCTCCACGAATAAAGTATTTATACAACAGTTCTTTCTGCTGATTTGAAAATCTAAAAGAACTTCGAACTGGTAATGCCCAACCTTGCAATAGAAAAATGTTCATGCAATGTGGTTTGTCTTTTACGGAAGCACTGAAGAAATTGGCATATTTAGTTGTGAAGTAATTTTCATCTTATGAACAAACGAGTTGCGAACTTTATCCAATGATGTTAATGATTTCGGAACTGTATGAAGACCGGATAGCATGTGTTCTTCTAACTCAGCATCGCTTTCAAATGATAAAGTACAATTTATTTCAGTGCAAAATCTTAATGAATATAATTGTCACTTCTTTTCTGTTTTTCCTTAAGTGACTTGTTACGCTTAATTGAATTATCTGTTTTGCTATGTGGCAACAACAACTTAATCGAGGGTTGAATTTTAAGATTTCCATACTCTTGTTCAATTCCCTCACCGATATTGAAATAACGCCACATCTTCATACTTTTCTCACCAAACTCAAATGAGTGATAGTTGCTAATGTTCTTAATCTTTGGTCCAGTAACTACAGTTTTATCATTGCTAATTTGAGCAACTGCTACTTTTGCATCTTTAGCGCTAAAACTATAATGCATAGCCTTGTGTATATCTTCAGCAGTCAAAAGATTATTGCATTAAGAACCTCAGTTACACTCTCACGGCTTCTTAGAGATTCGTCCAAAATCTCCTGTGAAACATTAATTTCACTGGGATCAAATTCTTCATCTGGAGTAGCAGGTGTCATATATGTTTGTTCTTGTTGTGTTTGCGTTTCTGTACATAAATTGGTGTTTTCGTTGACTCTAGATAAAGCAGTTTCTTGCTTTAAATGGGTAAAACACAGCATTGCACTAACTGAAAATACTTCTTTGTATCGCTTTGACATTGATATGACGACATGTATTGATGACGCCCTTAAAGCGGGAGATTTTTTTCCTTTTATATTTAGATGGTGAGGATGAAAGCATGTTTTTGGAGGACTCCATGCAATACCAAACGTGTACCGGTGAAAAGCACATATTTGTTCATCCTTTTCAAGATTTCTTTTAAGTCTATTTGCAATAAGTCCATTTTCTTCCCAAATATTATTATCGTTTAATCGCATGACCTAAAAACAATTTTTTAAACAATTATTAAGTGTGTCATTTAAAGCATTGCTTATAATCTGACTCTTCACGAAAAATGTTTACAAGTTTGAAATACATTGTTGTTATTGTTAAAATACAATATTGCAAGAGTGTGATTAATTTAGTGATTATTTATTAAAAGAGTGAGGAATTAATTAAAAGAGCTATTTTTTTTTGTTTAAAGAACTTTGTCTCAAAATCTTATTGCAGAGAAGTTATAAAGTATGTAATTATAAAAATTATATTATAGTCTGCGTAAATTTAAAATACATAATTACCTTTAAGTTGATGAGGTGTTTCTTAACATCAACATCTCCCAGCTGATGAATGTAGAACATTTTGTTTATAATTTTATGTTTTTTGAATGATCCACAATTTCCTTTTGAAAAGCAACAACAGTTTTCATAAAAATATTTGTTTTGTTCCATACTCAACTAAAAACAAGTTCTATTTATGCAGTACCTATTTCTCAATAGCAATGATAAAATATTTACTCTATTTATGCAAATTTTAAAGATCGTTAAAATAAAGTTAAGACATTTTTATGGTAAAGTAAACAACCGCCCACTAACTTGTTTCACCACAATCGTGATATCAGCAATTCTTCTTCCATTCGATCACCACAAGTTATTTGGTTATGACGTTAATTTAAATAATTCACTTCTGATCATGTATTGTTTTTTATTATTATTTATTTCAGTTGTTATGATTTCTATATCATAGTCAGAAACGCGTAAATTTTTTCTTAACATTACGTGCAATGTTTTGTGTAATGCTAATTGCTAATTTTGGATGATAGAAATTTTATTGTGAGCGAAAACCTCATCTGTGTGTCCAAAAAAATATCTCTTCGTACTTAATCATTTTTAACAATTTGTGCCTTTATTTTTAACTTAATATCTAAAGATCACATGAGTTTTTTTTTAAACTATGTTAGGGTCATCTTATATTGACCATTTAACACGATTATATTTTTACAAAACTTAGCGCCTCTGCCGTAATAGCTCATTTTGTAAGGATACTATAACATTTTTTTCCAATTTCAAGCCTTAACATATTAATAGGCCTTCGGTATCACATAACTTTCTTTGCATTTTTAGACTCAATACCTTTGATAATTTCAAATCCTAAAAGAAAAATTGTGTGCAACACTTCGCCGCTAGAATTAACTCCGATTAAAAATTGACAAAACTGATTGATTTTGTACTATGATAATTAGCCAACCGCACAGTGTCACGCAACTTTTTTATATTTTTTGGAGAGAGCTTTTGGGTTACGTCTGATATTAACTACAAAAGCTATGTGCAACTTTTTGCCTTGCCAAAAAAATGGGTTCAAAGGTGGCAAAAACTAAATTTCTAAAAATTTTTAAAAAAATCTCAAAAATTTAAGCCCAGATTCCGAGTGAACGAAACATTTTTGAAATATTTTTTTTTTCCGAACAGGTTTTCTCTATATTCTGAAATATATCAATATATAAAAAATTCAAGCAATTTGGAGGAGGTCACTTCCATTGACTGCCTGATTCTTTCAAAAAATGACTCTTAATTTCAATCTACAAACTTTTTTAATAGATGGCAAAAATGTGCTGAGGAGTTTTTATTGATTTGACGTACCAATATTTTTGATTTAAGGAAATTGTTTTTTAATGTTATGTTTTTAGTCGTTAGAAAGATAGGGAAATGATCACTTATGTCGGTTTTAATTATGCTTGTTTTTACGCAGCAATTGTGAAAACTGTTTGTTATTAAATTATCGACTAATGTTGAAGATGCCTTTTTTTATTCTTACTGCCATCCTAGTGGGCACCCGACCAAAAAAGACGTCTTTTAAACGTTCAAAAGACGTCCATAACGTGTATAAGACGTTTAAAAGATGTCTTTTTACGTCCGTGCCCACTGGGTTGTTTATTGTTGGAATAAAATTATATTGCAAAATGGAGTCAATAATGCATTTAGTATCATTTTTTTGATGCATAATTTAAAATGTTTATGTTAAAGTCTCTAACTAAATATACATGTTTCCGATTTTTACTGGTTTAAGTTAGAAAATTTTTAATATGAGCTTTGAAATTTTATAAGTTTCCAACAGGTTGTCTATAAATAGAGTTTACGAAAATGTTTTTATCCTCTTTTATTTAATATTTCCATAGTTAAAAAAAAGATACAGTTTGGATACGAACAAAGGTGCAAAGTTTTAACTGTTTTTAAAACTGTTTTTTCTCGTTTCCGGACTTCTAAACCTGCACAAAAAGATTGTTGCTGTTAGCGTTTGTTATTTTACTAAGTTGTTTTGTGTTTTCATTGAAATTGCTTTTTCTTGATATGTCTGGTGAAAATTGTGTAATATATGGTTGTTCAGCTTTTAGGAGACAAAATGGACGCGTTTTTTTTTTTTTTTTTTTATACCAGAAACAGCTGGATCCACAGAACTTTGTTTATAATCCCACAAGAATCATTTTATCTAACTATTACCAGAAGTATACAAAAATTTGCTTTATGGTGATTTTTGATTGTTTAAATGTAAAGAACCGTGTCGAAAATATAACAAAAAGGAAGCCATTTTTAAAGCTTTATAAATCAGTAGATAATTTTTTTGCTTGATTGAATTACTTTTTTTGTTGTTGTTGTTATTTAGGTGCCCCAAGAAGTCCTTACAGTCTTGTCACAGAGCACCGCGAAAGTGCATTTAACCGGGAAGTTCCCGCCTTCTTTCTTACCGTGACACGAAATATGTCCAAAGCTTGTTTTGAACCTGGATCTCCTGATTAAAAAGCAAGCGCTCTAACCACTGCACCACTGCCGCAATTACAAAATTGATAAATTTTATAAGGTATCTATAGATCAACAGGAAGAAAGTTTTGACGAGAGTTTGAAATTAACAATGTTTATTTCTTTACAAATTTACAACGATTTTCAAATTCGTTTAATGAAGTTGTTTAAGTTTCACTTCGAAAAAATGTTTAATTAGTTATTCCTGAAAGATTTTTAGAAAAGATATTCTATCACAAAGATATTTACTATAATATCAATGCAATCAAGCTGTTACTAGTAATGTTAAATGTCCAAAATAAAAAATAAAAGTCGTCAATTTACATTAAAGACCAACATAATTCTGGATTCAAGGTCATTTCACTAAACTTTTATAACTAAACTAATTAAAGTAGAAAGAAAAAAATGCTTTATACTTTGAAAAAAATATTTTATATATATATATATATATATATATATATATATATATATATATATATATATATATATATATATATATATATATATATATATATATATATATATATATATATATATATATATATATATATATATATATATATATATAACTTAATTCTGGATTCAACGTCATTTCACTAAACTTTTATAACTAAACTAATCAAAGTAGAGAGAAAAAAATGCTTCATACTTTGAAAAAAATATTATATATATATATATATATATATATATATATATATATATATATATATATATATATATATATATATATACATATATATATATATATATATATATATATATGTATATATATATATATATATATATATATATATACATATATATATATATATATATATATATATACATATATATATATATATATATATACATATATATATATATATATATATATATATATATATATATATATATATATATATGTATATATATATATATATATATATATATATATATATATATATATATATATATATATATATATATATATATATATATATATATATATATATATATATATATATATAACTTAATTCTGGATTCAACGTCATTTCACTAAACTTTTATAACTAAACTAATCAAAGTAGAGAGAAAAAAATGCTTCATACTTTGAAAAAAAAATTATATATATATATATATATATATATATATATATATATATATATATATATATATATATATATACATATATATATATATATATATATATATATATATATATATATGTATATATATATATATATATATATATATATATATATATATATATATATATATACATATATATATATATATATATATGTATATATATATATATATATATATATACATATATATATATATATATATATATATATATATATATATATATATATATATATATATATATATATATATATATATATATATATATATATATATATATATATATATATATATATATATATATATATATATATATAGATATAGATATAGATAGATAGATAGATAGATAGATACATATACTATAGTGTATATAGATATACACTTGCCAACTTTTATCACTGACTTATTATCCTAACTTTTAACTCATATATCATTAATATTATTTTTTTTAATCTCCCAAAAAAAACATAGTTGGCAAAGATTTCAGAAATTTTTATTCAAATACAATATAAATGAGAAAAATTAAATATAAATAATACAAAAGAAGCAGTATACAGTAGCATACTTGTCATATTATTACAAGCTATGAATAAAAATATGTAACCGATCATAACTCAGAATTTTATTGCTCTAACTGTAACGCATTGAAGGACCTTTAATAATAAATTTTATGTACCTTAATAAATAAACTTTATCATAAATTTTTAAGATTTAAGTACTTCTTATACCAATAATGATTTAAAAAGTTGTGACTATGAAACTAGCCTTTTATGTTCAACAAACTTTTTTTTTCGTTTGTTTTGATAATTTCAGATTACACAGGTCTTCCAAGTTTTCTTTCTCATTTTATGTTTATCAGTAATGTCTTTGCATAAAAAGATAACAAACCTTTACAAACAATGTAAGTTAGGGCTTTAGCAAATTCTTACTAGTTTCACTTGATTCTTAAGATAAATTAAAATATTACGGAATAATTAATAAAACTTATTATTGGATTAAAAGCTATCTTACAAACAGAAAACAATTTGTAAATAATGCCCAATCTGGAGTGTTAAATGTCATATGTGGAGTTCCGCAAGGATCGATTCTTGGTCCACTTCTTTTTTAAATATATACAAATAACTTCTGTATGCATCTTTAAAATTTAATTCAGTCATTTTTGCAGATGACACGAATTTATTTCTTACCAACAATGATATCAAGAAATTATATGCGGACATTAATATTGAACTAAATAAAGTAAATAACTGGTTTAAGGCTAACAAACTCGCACTTAATGCCGAGAAAACAAACTATATACTTTTTCATAAAAAAACACATAAAGAAAATCTTCCTCTCAAGTTGCCGAACCTATTTATAAATGACAAATTAATTAAAAAGCAATCCAATATAAGATTCTTGGGAATCGTTGTTGATGAAAAATTATCCTGGCTTCCTCATATAATATATATCCAGTTAAAAATTACCAAAATCATAGGTTTAATGTATCGAGTTCGCTCGTACATCAATACAAATAGTCTTAAATTAATCTACTTTGGGCTAATTCACAGCCTCATCAGCTATGCAAACATTTCATGGGCAAGTACTCTTTATTTTTATTTATTTATTTCGTCATATATAAGCATTTTGCAATGTTCTCGTTTCCAAGTTTAATATAACAAATCAAAATATAAAGAATGACAGGAGCAAGTAGAAG